TGTTTGTTTTGGTGATTTCAAATATCAACATTGCCTACCAGAAATCGCTTACCCTGCCTTTAATATAATGTACAGCTCAGGGTCGTAAAGCTGAAGTCGAGAGATTCAGCTAATATATGTATATGCACAGAAGTATACAAGAAGTGATTTCACACACACACACTTTTTCTATTAATCACTATCTGCTATCTGACTCATTTTTCCTCACATGGTGTCAGTGTTTTATGGAGGATGTCAGAGGGAGGCTGTGGGAACTTTTCTGTTGTGATCTCACTAGGATTGAGTTTCATCTTGAGGAATGCTTGTAAGCAGCTCAGACATTCTCCACGCTCCTGAGGTGTTCAGTGCAACTCAGTCGGGTGCAGCTGCAGAAGTCATCCTAACCCTCTTCTGAGCCATGATCTCCATGCGTGCTTTAATGAAACACAATCTGTGCACACGCTTCAGTTGTTGTTTTCACACATATCGCATTCGTCATGTGTATAGATCTGATCATTCTCATTCCTTTCTTTGGTTAGATTTTTCTTACATTAAAGATAAGAAATGTAGTGTTTAATACTTCGTTGTTTGGGTATGTGTGTTTTCCTATTACAGGTCGTATGCATTCTCTGCAGTCGACAACCAGAACTTGCAGTATCTGTGGGACTGGAGTCAGCACAATCTGACCATTAGAGCTGGGAAATTGTTCTTCCGCTTCAATCCCAAGCTTTGCATGTCTGAGATCCAGAAAATGTGGGAGAAGACCAGTGCTAAGGAAAAGATGGAAGAGGACGATGCTCGTAGCAATGGAGAACGAGCAAGCTGTGAGTAGATGAAGTGTTTCCCGTGATACTCTGCCACTGCCACAGCAAAATTAGCAGATTTTTTAAAAGAAGTAAAACTACCAGCTATATCAATTGAACAGGCATGCACTAGATGCCCCACTTACTCCTGATGAACTCCATAAAGTATTAGATAAAAATACCAAACAACAAATCACCCGGACCTGATAAACTCCCAGACGAATTCTCTAAACACTTCTGGCAAATTTTATTTCTGTTATTTCATATAGTAGTCACAGAAATAATAACTACATCCAAACAAAGACCACGTTTATCCCACTAGTTACCGCCCTCTCTCGTAGATAAATACAAATGTAAAAATCATTACCAAAGCTCTAGCTACTAGGATAGAAACATTAATCCGATGTTAATCCACCATGATCAAACAGGTTTTATCACACACAGAAATGCTTCAGATAACACCCATAGATTATTCAGTTTAATTAGTTTTGCCAAAACAAAAACAAACCAAAATCGTGATTGTATCATTAGATGCTGAAAAAGCATTTGACAAAGTAATTGGACATTTTTATTCACAACTCTTATTTATACCATTTAACTCACTAGTATAGAAATATGGCCTTTGGGGTGAACAGTTTCTCCAATATCAACAAACAAAATCCATAGTTAAATCCAAGATTAATATAACTAATGACATCACTACACTAATATCTAAACTTCATAAATGTATATCCAATACAGATTCAACAGTAGCACTACCAATGGCCAACTGGGAAAATGATTTGGCTTTCTCCCCCAATCCCGACCTCTAGAAGGAAATTTGTAATAATACTTTTTCCATGACTAGCAATACAAATTTACAACTAATACACTACAAGATAATTCACAGGACTCACATCACCCAAAGGAAAAAGTTTAAAATGTTCTGTTCAAATATTCATATACACTGAACAAAATTATAAACGCAACACTTTTGTTTTTGCCCCCATTTTTCATGAGCTGAACTCAACACATTTTAGAGTGGCCTTTTATTGTGGCCAGCCTAAGGCACACCTGTGCAATAATCATGCTGTCTAATCAGCATCTTGATATGCCACACCTGTGAGGTGGATGGATTATCTCGGCAAAGGAGAAGTGCTCACTAACACAGATTTAGACAGATTTGTGAACAATATTTGAGAGAAATAGGCCTTTTGTGTACATAGAAAAAGTCTTAGATCTTTGAGTTCAGCTCATGAAAAATGGGGGCAAAAACAAAAGTGTTGCGTTTATAATTTTGTTCAGTGTATTTAGATACATATGTAATGAGATATATACATACGTATCAGGATAATTATTCCAATATAATATTGTTTTTACATTTACATTATTTGACTCTTAAAATATATATTGCATTAAAAACAAAATATCAATTCAAGTGGCCTCTGCAAACACAGTGCTAGAGCTTTTCTCAGACGTAACTTAAAACTGAGCCATTTTTGCAATTACTTTTAACCTACTGGTCTCTAGAGAATTTTTAATAGATGTATGGAGTCAGTTCTAAGAAAGCGTCCAAATACATTTTAAACAGTATAACTATAGTTTGAAACCTGAAAAACTGAAAGGTTTTAAAAAAGCGAAAGTTTGCTTGTGCAGTTTTTCTTGTAAATAAATTTTATTGGTTTGATATTCTGTTATATAATGCAGTGGCATTTGTAAGTGAGAACAGGTTGGTAGACAACAGTATTATGTTTCTACAAAGACATCACTCAAGACTCTTAAAATGCATTTTGCTCACAAGGTGTCCCAGTTGTTCTTCTGTACCTGCTCTATTATGTGTTTGACAGATTTCTGTACAGAGCGAATTTGCTTCGAAGAACAATGATAATGGCTTATTCATACTTTTTCCTCAGAACATAATTGCTCTGACTCTAGACTGGTGAGACATTAACAGAAGTGCCTTTTCTAATACCACTCTGATTCCTAGAAGCTCATGAAAGATGGAAAGGCCATGGCACAGTTTTACATTCAAGTTGAAGAACTCTTATGGGTGCTTTTAGTTAAATATCTCTTATGACCCCTCTTCTAGGTGAGAGTTATATTCTAAAGTTCAAATCCAACCACACTCAGAGTACTCGGATAAAGCTCACTTGGGAGCGATATCGACCGCCTGACTACAGAGACCTCATCAGCTTCATCGTGTATTACAAGGAGGCGTAAGTATCAGACTGCCAGAAGTTACTATTATAGACATATTATTTACATCAAGTTTATTAGCAGCTTGAGGGTTGTGATAAAGCATTATATAAATGTGCATTTGTGCGCTGTTGTCTCGATGTAGACAATTCCAGAACATCACAGAATTTGACGGACAAGATGGATGTGGCTCAAATAGCTGGAACATGGTGGATGTAGACCTTCCTCAGGACAAATCTACAGACCCAGGAGTATTGTTGTCTTCTCTTAAACCCTGGACACAATATGCCATCTTTGTGAAAGCCGTCACCCTGGTTGTAGAGGACAAGCACATTCTGGGGGCTAAGAGTGAGGTGGTCTATATCCGCACCAATGCATCAGGTGGGCATCACCACTATCCCTCCAATATCCATTACCCAATCTACAATTAGACTTATTACGCCAACTAATCTCTTGCAATTCCACAGCGCCGTCAATGCCCCTCGATGCCCGCGCATATGCCAACTCCTCCTCATCCCTGATGGTGAAGTGGTCTCCTCCCATCTCTCCCAATGGAAACAAAACCTTGTACCTGCTCCGCTGGCAGCAGCAGACAGAAGACCATGAACTCTACCAGCATAACTACTGCTCTAAAGGTAAGTGTGCACCATTAATGTACCCTCATCACCTCCACTAACCTTCAGGTATTCCAGAGAAACGTACAATAACTATTATTTACAAAATGTGTGAAGCTTGTTGTTGTTGTTGCTCAATCAGCTCAGTCTGTGTCATTGTTTTGGACTACAGAGCTAAAAATTCCCATCCGCATCTCAGCCACGGCTTTGTCGGACATGGAAGGCGAAACAAAGCCCACCAAATCAGATGTTGGTGGGGGTGAGAAGGGCTGCTGCCCCTGCCCAAAAACCAAGGAGGACCTAAAGGCGGAAGCTGAAGACAGATCTTATCGAAAAGTCTTCGAGAACTTCCTGCACAACTCCATCTTCACACCTAGGTATGACACATGCACTGATGGCACTTTCTGAAGCTCTTAGTGTGACGCAGGTCTGTTTGGTTTAGTGGACTCTCCACTTTGCATCTCCTGCTATTTGAAAACATTTCTACAGCCCAAGTGCCTAAGCCCGGTTTAAATGTTTGAATGATTTGATTTTGAAAAAAGAACATTTTAGGTTCAGTACAAGTCGAATCAACATCACTTGTGGCAAAGTATTACAACACAAATTTTCAAAATTTTCAAATCTAAGTTACAGTGAAGCACTTACAATGTAAGTGAAATCAGGGTCAATCTGTAAATGTTTTAATACTGTGTTTCAAACATATAGCCATAGGACGTATGCATGTTAACAAGATTTTAGTGTTAATATAGTGTTAGGGTGCTTTCACACCTGGCCCGTTGTTTCGGAACCTGGCGTGTTTCCCCCCTTAGCTCAGTTCGTTTGGCCATATGTGAACACGGCAATCACGCTCAGATCCGCGCCAAAACAATCGGTCCGAGATCGCCTGAACGAGGTGGTCTCGGTTCGATTGCTGACTGAGTGGAATCCCGGAAAATAAACCGTGTAACTCTGACCAATGAGGGAACAGTTTACTCGCGCGTGACTTTTATTAACAAATTTGGTCCATTTCGAAACTTTGCCGTGTAAAAGCGAACCGCACCAAGAATAAAACGCAACATTGTAATAATTTTAATCCCTGTTTCGTAACAAAGCAATCGATCTAAAGGTGTGAAAGCACCCTTTACAACTTTGTTGCCATGATAACATAATGCCTAAAACCATAAAATGACCATAAAAATGTCAAGAACAATTTTACAATTCAACAGAATTAATTTCTGTTAAAATGGAATTATGTTTAAATTAATTTTTATAAATAAAAGTGTTAAAAAATAGTGTTTTTATAAAACCTTAAAGGGATAGTTCACCCAAAAATGAAAGTTCTGTCATTAATTACTTACCCTCGTGTTGATCGAAACCCGTAACACCTTCGTTCATCTTCGGAACACAATTTAAGATATTTTTGATTAAATATGAGGGCTCTATGACC